ACAGCTGATCAGCTGTTTGTCGGCTCAGCGCGGCAGCCATGTAAATGTAAATGAAGCCGCGATCATTTAAATCGTGGCTTCATTTGCCTTTGCCAAACAAACAAATCTACATGGCTCCGTCGATGGAGCCATGTAGTCTAGATATACCCTCAGTGAACTGTAAAAAAACAAATCTACATGGCTCCGTCAATGGAATTGCAACTGTGCACTTACGAATTTCTGTTTACTTTGCAGGAAATGACAGTGCAAGATGTTCCTCATGCCTTCCCTACGCTGGATGTTTCAGACCATGCTCATTACACAATTGGAACTGTCATTCTGGTGGTGGGGATCACCGGAGCACTGGGTAACTTCCTCGTCATCTATGCTTTCTGCAGGTACCAATATACCTCATTTGTTCTGTATGGAATATTCCTGTGGCTAGACGTTAATACTGGTGAGACTGTCACAGAGATTTGGTCCAGGACCACAATCATTATGGGTGTACTAATGCAAACTAATAATATGTGCAACAAAGCAATCCCGATCCATGACCTTGTATTCCTCAATTTGTGTATGAAATAGTTGTTAATAAAAGGTGGATAGTAGGTATGATCGTGAAAACCAAACAATCTTTCGGATTTTAGTTACAACTCCTCATGACAGTCATGCAATATCTTGGATAAATCTTATTAAATGATGTTGATACTTATTGAATTAAGCTGAATACATTTGGGATCCATTGCATTTAAACCACAATTGTTTGTGTTAGTGCAACACTGTACTTATCTGGAGAGTTTATGCTAATGTAATTGCATTATATTGTGTATTGGCCCTTGGAAAATCAGTTACCTAGTCCGTCTCCTCAGAGGTTCAAACTGGATTCTAGAGACCAGTGGACAAAAAAAGGATGTTGGGATAAATAACCTGTTAGTAAACTGACTCAGGGCTTTTTTTCAGATCTGGCAAAGAAACAGGACTTCTGGTCCATAGAAGGCCACAATCCTTAGGAAAGGGTTGGAAGAAATTTGATCTAATAAAGTCCCATAGGACTGGGTTCTTGTTTTGAGCAAAAGGAAGATGAATTAAAAATCACACAAAAACATTTGGGTGGGGCACTGAAGAACAGCTCCATCCAGAGTCCCTGTTGAAGGGTTGATCTCTGGGAAACATTTTAGCATGTAAGTTCTTTTATTGGTTTTAATGTTTTCTTCATAATACTTTTCTCTGAAGAATTAACTGTGCTTGCTCAGAAAGAGTGATAAATTATAGCAATGGACAATTACACCATTATTAGTCTATGAAGAGAAAGCAGGCAGGTCTGCTTAGACAGCCTATTTTCTGACAGGAATAACATGGTTCATCCTGGAAATATCCTGGTCTGCTCGGACAGAGATGCCAGTCTTCACCCAAGTGATAGCTCGGGAGCCAAAAGCCTAGAGGAGCTGGTGATGGGCTGTGGAAAGGGAATACAGGTGCATAGACTATGACAGTCCCTGTAGTGAGTTAGCTTGGCCTCCCTCCAACCTGGAAGGGGAAGAACCTCTGGTGGGTTGTGCCACAGCAATCCAGCCCCACCCACAGGAAGCAGAAAGGTGGGGCCGGAAATTTAAAAGGAGGAGCCAAGGGCTCAGTTGGAGCCCAGACACAGAGCCAGCCAGATGTTCTGCCCAAGCTCCCAAGGAGGAAGGCCCAATTGCACCTCCTCCTCCCCCCAGAAAGGAGAACTGGCCTGGGCCTCCAGGACCTCTGCCAGGCCCAGAAGACTAGGCTGTGCTGCCTGGACTGATGCTTGACCTTAACTCAGAGCCCATGGACATCTTGCTTCCCTCCAGACAGATACCAGTACAATCCCCATCCAACATTTTCTGTTAAGTTTCACAGACTATAGGGTCAGAAGGGACCATTTTGTAACCTCTAGTCTGAGTGCCTGTGGAAACTTACCTTGCCTCCACTGAGAGCAAAACTTGGGACTTTCAGATTATGAGACTGATATGCTGCCACCTGTGCTAAGGAAGCTGAATGAGAGCATATGGCAGATAGTGACCCTTCTGAGGGATTTGGGACCTGCCCTGTCTGCCCTGGAGTATAGTACTATCTGGCCTAAGCAGTCTGGGGGAAGAAGAGTGCAGCAGATGGAAAGAGAGTAGAGCAGTACTGTGGTGACTTGGGACTTTCAGATTATGAGACTGATATGCTGCCACCTGTGCTAAGGAAGCTGAATGAGAGCATATGGCAGATAGTGACCCTTCTGAGGGATTTGGGACCTGCCCTGTCTGCCCTGGAGTATAGTACTATCTGGCCTAAGCAGTCTGGGGGAAGAAGAGTGCAGCAGATGGAAAGAGAGTAGAGCAGTACTGTGGTGTGTCCCACTCTGGAAGAGGCAGCTCAGCACGAAATCTGGGAAGCGGCGTCTGTGGTAGGGGACATGTGTGCAGGGCGGAGAGGGGGAGTTGCGGGAGGCTGGATGTCATGTCTCTCTTTGGAGCTATCTAAAATGTTGAGGTGGGTGGGAGACTGGAATAGAATTGCAGAGCTGTGGGTGCTCTGGTACTACACCTACCCACTGACGATGCGATCTCCGTAGTTACTTAACAATAAACAAACCACCAACTCAGGGTGTCAATGGTTAACTGGTAAGTCTCACCCTTGGTGGGTGAGGCTTATGGGTTCCAGTTAACCCGTAGGGGTTAGAGAAGCTCCCCTGACTGCCCCAGTCAGGGGGCTATTTCAGCCCCATAGAGCCCACCGCAAGCAGGGGGCCCCCGTCTGTGTTGGGCCTAACCCCTCTTCCACAGGTTACACCCCACTCCTGGGGAGGCTTCACTATGAGTTTTTCAGTATAAAGCTTATATATAAGTATAAAGCCAGTATATAACCCTGACCCAAACCCTTGTAATGCATGAAGATTGTGTCAGGAGCTGGAAGGAAGGGGCTGAAATTATGTGCCCCTGGTGCAGCTCTGAGTTGCACTGGACAAACAGAATATTTGCCCAACATAGTGGTCCTCCTGGAATAGATCTTTGTGTCCAGGGTATCCAGATGTAACTTGACATATTTTTTCCCCTGTATATAAAAACCAGGGCCAGTGTTTAGGAATAAAAGCAGAGAAATTGCCCCCGGATCCTATGCTACAGGAAGCACCACAAAACTACGGCCTCACTTCAGCCTGGAGTGGTGGGTCTCGGTGGGTGGGGGGTCCAGGCTGCAAGCCTGTGCTGCAGGGCCTTGGTGCTTCTGCCCTGGCACATAAGTGAGTCCAATGCCAACTATGCTTGGTGTACCCCCTGAAACCTGCTTGCAGCCCTTAAGGGGGCCCCAGACCCATGGTTGAGAACCACTGTTCTACATTACAGATCTCGGGAGGTGTAACACATTATCTGGCCAATTGTGTCTGAGACTGAAAACTAAAGAAAGAAGCTCTAGTGACATTAGATAAAGTGCCACAATTTAAAAAGAATAAAAAATTAGAATGAGAAAGGACTGATACTAAGAACTCTCAATAACAAACACATTTGTACAAATACACTCTAAGAAACTGTGTTATGTTGACAGGAGTAATTTATAGGGGTGGGAGATGTAATAAGTGTGGCAATAGGTCCCTTCAAACTCAGTGCCTGGTGCAGTGAACTGCCTGTCATGGAGAGGAGTTGAGATAAAATAAAATGCTTTGTGTGGTATAAACTCAGCCTCTTTAATCTCCATATTTGGAAATGGCTGTTAATCTCATCAGCAGTGAGCCTTCAGCTCTGTATGACCCACATCCAGAAAATCCATAGAGTACATCAACTTTAATTTCCTGCTACTCATGGACACAGGGTACAGTGGGTCAGAGTATTCAGAGAAAAATGTATTCTATTCCTGTTTCTGAGCTCGTTATCAAAGCCAATACAGATCCTCTACTAAAGCACAAAGAAGTATAAGGAGTTTGCTATTAAAATGATGCTGTCTCATTTAGTTTCTCTCATCAGGAAAGTCAAAAGCCTGTTTGATGTAACTTGACATATTCTATACCTAGATATGTGTGAAGCTGCCAATGCTCACAGCAAAGAGTAATAGAGAGACAGGTTGGGTGAGATAATTTATAGTGCACCAGCTTTTGAGAAGCTCTGAAGATGAGAAAGAGAAGCTCTGAAGATTACACACAGCTCTACACTGTGCTGATTAGGTCTCAACTGGATAGTGTGTCCAGTTCTGGGCACCATATTTCAAGAAAGATGTGGAGAAATTGGAGAAAGACCAGAAAAGAGCAACAAAAATGATTAAAGGTCTAGAAAACATGAGCTATGAGGGAAGATTTGGGTTCATTTAATTTGGAAAAGAGAAGACTGAGAGGGGGATATGAAAGACCTAAATGGGTGTTACAAGGAGGAGGGAGAAAAATTATTCTCACTAACTACTAATGATAGGACAAGAAGCAATGAGCTTAAATTAAATTCCAGCATGGAAAGTTTAGGTTGGACATTAGAAAAAAATTACTGTCAGGGTGGTTAAGCACTAGAATAACTTACCTAAGGAGGTTGTGGAATTCCATCTTTAAAGATTTTTAAGAGCAGGTTAGACAAACATCTGTCAGGGATGATCTAGATGGTGCTTGGTCCTGCTGTGAGGGCAGGGCACTGGACTTGATGACCTCTTGAAGTCCCTTCCAGTTCTAGTATTTTATGATTCTATGATTGTTCTTTAGATCATGAAGAAAAGCTCGGTGTAAACTGAAAAGTTTGTATCTCTAATCAGCAGAAGTTGATCCAATAAAAGATATTGCCTCACCCACCCTATCTCTTATGTACTGGAACCCATCATGGCTACAATAACACTGCATTTAACAAACAGTAACAGCATAATTGCCTAAGGATAAGTGCTTATTCATTTTCCTTTTCACCTCTTTTCTGTAGGAGTAAGAGTCTTCGAACTCCAGCCAACATGTTCATCATCAATCTAGCTATTAGCGACTTCTTAATGTCCATCACACAGGCTCCAATTTTCTTTGCTACCAGTCTCCACAAGCACTGGATCTTTGGCAAAAAAGGTTGGTACATTTATCTCCAGAAAGATAATTTAGTTTGTTGCCATGGAAAGTATCAAAGCTATGTGAAACTAAAGTCAAAAGCACATAAACACAGCCTGGTTTCAAGTTTTTCAGGCATTTAGGACTCAGTCTCAGGTTGTCAAAAGGTTTAGGACAAACTTGAGACTGTAAGTGAAGTTATTTACATTTAAGTAGTATTGATATGATACCAGCTGAAATTTGATAGTTTTCAATACATTTGACTTTAAATTTGGGGCAGGTGTATGATGAGATGTTGATACAGAACAAAAATCAAAATGTGTTTGATCTTTGTCCTTTACCCTCCCTTTTCCTTCCTGAGGAAATTATACTAAAAACTACATTAAAATAAGGGTATTTAGGTTGTAAAGTCAAGCATTAAAAGGTTAAGAAATGCCACATTTATGGCTGCCTATGTGACCTTAAGTCGGCCCCTTTGTGAACGTGCATTATGATACAGTTTTAATTACACAATCGTATACTTTTTTTTTCTCTGGGAATGTCTACACTAGGAAATAATTTCAAAATAATTAAATTCAAAATAACTCCCAAAATAACAAAATTGAAATAGTGTGTCCTGGTTACAGGGCAGCCTTGAAATTAGTCCGAGGCAGGCTCTGTTATTGTGGATGTGCTACCTTGACTTATTACTCTCCAGTGCTTCCTGGGTCTCTTACTTTGAATTACTCTGTGGAGTAGTTATGTTCAAATAGCAGCAGCAGAGTGTCCACACTAATGCTTATTCCCCAAGGAAATCAGGAGTACAGATTTTGAAATAACCAGCCCGTTATTTCAAAATAACAGATAACGGGCTTGGTAGTGTGGACGCTCCACTTATTATTTTGAAATAAGGTGGGTTATTTTGAAATAACTCCCTAGTGTAGACTCTTTACAGGGCTCTAGGACCTCTATATCATCAGTACAAAGGATGGATACAAAAGAGAGGAAATCAGGGTTACATAGTCAAGTAAAAATCTGGTACTGTATTTTCTAACTTTTGAGTGCTTGACTTATCCTAATTAACATTCTTCTAATGTAGTTTCTATTTGTTGTAAATAAATTTACATAACTAAGTCTATACTATTACTGCCAGAATAGTGAGATAGAAAATGTTTCTCTAATGTTTGATAAATGAACATGCTTTCTCACTTCTTGCATTCATTCACAGTTGTCTCACATCATAATTAAAAACCTAGAAGCATAAGCTCGGGAGCACCTCCTTCCAGCTTACCACTCTGCCACTGGCACTGATTAACTCGAATATAGAATTTTTGTCCAGATACTTCTGCTGCTAGAAAGCCTGACAAGAAACATGGGTTTTTACAATATAAATATAATCCAACTATTCTCAGTGTGGTCAGTGAACATGCTTTGTATTTCACTCACTGGGTCTAAACTACCCAACATTCTTTGTCTGTGGTTTATGTGACAACAGTGCCCAAAAATGTACTAAGTGAGAGATAGGCATACAGGGAAACACAGTCCCTGCCCCAAAGAGCTTACAGCAGGGGTCCCAGACTCCCAGCCCACGAACCAATCCCAGCCAGGGCAATTGTGCAATCTGGCCCAGGACTTCCAGTGGGCTGGGGGGAGACCTTGCCAATACTGGGTCCCAAGTCCCACCCTTTCAGGGGAGGCTGTTGTCCATTACTGGCACCCAAGCTATGTCATCTCCTCCCATAGCACCCTGTCCCCTGAGCATGCGGCTTTGGTGATCACTGAGGCGGCCTGGTGCTGCGTGGCAGCAGCAGTCATGCTTCCCACACTCTCTGAGGCAGCAGGAGCTGCAGGGCAAAGGAGTGAACTACAGCAAGTGCCACCTGCCTACCCCATGGCTCCTGCCACTGCAGGGAGTACTGGGGGTGTGACTGCTGCCACTATATGGCACCAGGCCCCCTCAGTGATCGCCAAAGCCATGGCTCAGGGAATCCGGTGCCATGCGGGGAGAGTGTGGGGTGACAGCAGGAAGGGGCGGGGCTTGGGGACTGGTAACAGACCCCACCCACCGACTGGGAGTCCCGGGCCAGATTGCACAACCACGCTAGCTGGGACTGGCCAGCAGGCTGGGAGTTTGAGACCCCTCTTATAGTCTATAATGACAAAGCCAGGCAAAAGGTGGGTGAAGGGGATACAACATGAAGGAAAGTGATTAGGATAGGAAATAGGACATGATTTGGTTCATTTAAATACACGTATGAACTATCCACCCCGCTCCCCCCAGTTAATTGGTTTTTAATGCATGTCTATTATCTTTTTATTTTAAACTACTCGCAGTGTATAATCTTTGCTTATAAAACCTTGTCAAAATGTCCTTTCTAATGACCCATTCCTGATTCTCTACAGACTCAAAGCTATGTGCTGCCTCAGTGAACTCGCCCTTAACTGTGCCTACCGACACCAGAGATTTAGATTTAAGGTGAAACCCTGTCTCCTTGTAAATCAGTGGCAAAACTCCCAATGAATTCAGTGAAGCCAGGGTTTCATCCTCTGTCTGGGAGGCAAACATACAGATCATGTAGCCAGGCTGATGGGGCCTATCTGGTATAAAACATATCTGAAGAATAAAGGCTATTTTGGGTGGGATTCACAGTAGGTGAAATCAATAGGGGTTAGGTAACTAAATACCTACATGAATCCCCCATTGATGCTTTCAATACAGATACTACTCTTTCTCGTGCTGCAATTATATCTTGTATGTGCGTGGTGGGGGAGGTGAACAAGATGGCTATTATTAACTTGCTCATAAAATTAAGTAGATAATAAATGTTTCTGCAGTTCTTCATGCTACAAAGCTAAAAAAACTATACACACATATATAAACAAACTGTCTAATCTCCAGAGCTGGCTGATAATTAAAAGGCAGACTTTTGAATGTATTAATGAATATATGCTCTTTAGCTGTTGTACTATTTGTATAATTGCAGATACTAATGGAAAAATTGGCGTATCTCAAACATTTAATGAATTTGCATGTTTTAATTCCCATTCATCATTAATAGTTCTCTTATTAGAAAGATTTCTGTCATTCCATCCAACAGCACAATGCAAATCATGTCCCACAGATAGCAAACAAAGCAAATTACTGACAGCCAATCCATTCTCTGAATTATTTACTGAAACTATGCAGACCTCATCATCTTGAGGTACGAGCTGCTCTATGATATCTAAGTAACTATAAAAATACTTTAACTAAAATAGGTCTTTCCATGAGAGTTAGAATACAATTAAAGCTAAATGAGCTGCCATGGGATCTTTGAAATGCTTCCGCTAGAAATGTCAGAAGTTGAAAACTGAATGCCAAGTGAATCACTGTCTTGAGTATTAAAGGCGAGTACATCTTTGACGTTTACATCCATGGATAATATAATTAGCCAACAGCTTGGAAAGTATATTGCTGCTGGAAAAGTGGATTTCCTTTTGCCTTAAGAGTTCTTAAAGTAATGTGTAACCAGGCACAGGATAAATGGTCTCCCAGAACAGAACACTGGTGTAACAAGCGTGGATGGCTAAATCTGTTGGTTAACTTTATGTACTCTCCATTGAAAGGTTGTGAGCTTTATGCCTTTTGCGGAGCCCTTTTTGGCATCACATCCATGATCACACTGATGGCAATTGCACTGGACAGATATTTTGTGATCACACGACCCTTGGCCTCCATTGTGGTGATGTCGAAGAAGAAGGCTTTGATAATCCTGCTAGCAGTCTGGCTGTACTCTTTGGCTTGGAGCCTTCCACCCTTCTTTGGATGGAGTAAGTGGGATAGAATGCAAGTCTGTTGTCTTATAACATGAGAAAATGAGGGGATTAAAGAATGGTCTGTTAGACACAAGAATGAATAAACAGAATTTACATATTAAGATAAGGTTTGAAGAAATCACTCTGAAGGAGATTGCTTTTAGCTAATGAGTCTTAAGAATTTTAATCAGCAGAAAAGATTGCGGTGGGTATATCACATGTAATTATCTTTCATTGAACCTTTTGCAGAGAATCTTAGAAGCACACATATAAAAACATACAAAATAAAGACAAAAATAACACAACAGGCTTCTGTAATAGTGCATAACCTTCTGTAAAGAAGCAGAGATGAATAAAAACTAACGGGGACAGATGAGCACAGTTTTTAAGTTTTCAAAATGATTTTCAGTGCTCAGAAAAGGTGCCATATTGGCAGCCTGAGGAACCTCAATTCCTCTATTTATACCTAAAAGCACTTCAGTATGGGCAGTAAAAGTGCAATTTTATACCCCATACAATGTGACTAAACTCAATCTGGTGGGACCAATTCTAGAGGTAAGAGCGTTGTTTACTTTCCCATTTAGCCCTTTACATCTTAATGAAAAATGACAATTAGTAGTAATTTGATTGCTGTTTTACTTGAACACGTTACTTTTTGTGTGTAAATTGGTATATATTTATATTTCACATCTAGACAGACTGAAAATGTAGCCCCAACTGTTGGCTGAGATAGAATCATAGTACATAGTGAGGCCATCGAGTCCAGCCCCCTGCACTCACAGCAGGACCAAGCAGCATCTGGATCACAACCTGACACTTGTTTGTCTAGTCTGCTCTTAAAAGTCTCAAATGATGGAGATTCCACAATTTCCCTAGACAATTTATTCCAGCACTTAGGAAGTTTTTCTTAATATCCTATCTTAACCTCCCTTGCTGCAATTAAAACCCATTGTTTTTTGTCTTATCCTCAGAGGTTAAGGAGAATAACTTTTCACCCTCCTCCTTGTAACAACCTTTCAGATTCTTGAAAACTGTTACCATGTCCCATCTGTATTCTCTTTTCCAGATTAAACAAACCTAGTTCTTGAATCTTCCCTTATAGGTCATGTTTTCTAGTCTTTTAATCTTTTCTTTTTTTGCTCTTCTTTGGACTTTTTCCAATTTGTCCACATTTTTCCTAAACATGGTGCCCAGAATTGGACAGAATACTCCAGTTGAGGACTAATTAGGAAGGAGGAGAGTGGAAGAATTACTTACAACTTCCTGCTAATGCATTCTATATGTTTTCTTTTTTTGCAACAGTGTTTTACTGTTGACTCGTGGCCCACTATGACACCTAGAACCTTTTCCGCAATACTCCTTCTTAAGCAGTCATTTCCCATTTTGTATGTGTAATGAACTGTTTCCTCCAAAGTGGAGTATTTTGCATTTGTCTTTGTTGAATTTCATCCTATTTACCTCAGACCATTTCTCCAGTTTGTCCAGATCATTTTGAATTTTCACACTATCCTCCAAAGTACTTTCAGCCCCTTCCAGTTTTATAAGTGTACTCTCTGATGTTATCTAAATTAGGGGTGGGCAAATATTGGCCTGACAGCCACATCCGGTCTATCAGGGTTATCCCCTGGCAGACCGCCGCCACTGTATTTATCTGCACGGCCACAAGTATCAGCAATTGCATCTCCCATTGACCTAAGTTCCTGGCCAATGGGCGTGGTAGAAAATGGCACAGACCAGAACACCACTTCACTGTTCCTGGCCAATGGAGATGCAATTGCCAGGAAGTGGTGTTCTGGTCAGCGCCACTTTCTGCTACTCTCATTGGCCAATGGGAGTGGCAAATGCTTGTACCTGAGGTTGTGTAGGTAAATACAACAGTGGCAGCCTGCCAGGGACTAACCCTGGTGAACCGCTGCCATGCTATTGGCCATCCTCTGATCTAAATAATTGATGAAGATACTGAACAGAAACAGTCCCAGAACTGCAGAGCCTACTCATTATGACCATGAACTGTAGTAGTAGTAGTCTTTCTTTGTTTGAAACTAAACTAATACAATCAACTTGTTTCATACAGACCACCAATTTATGGTCACCACTGACCTATCATAGGATGAACTTGAACCTGCCAGTTAATTGCCTAAACCCCAACAGTATCCACCCCTTGAGCAGGCCTGGTCTCCATTGGTGGTGTGAGGTAGGGTTCAACTGAAGTGAGAAAGTAACACTTTCTCACTTGCTTACCAGACTATTGTAAAAGAGTAGGATATTGTGTTATTTTTGTTGTTGTAGTTTTTCTTCTCCCAGATGTGTAGCATGCATAGCTGGTAAATTCCAGTTGTTTAACATTATGGCTTGTAGCAATATGACAAATACTCTTATATGAGAAAACCCTAATCAATGAGACAGAAAAATTACTGCTGTCTTATAACTAGATTTTATTAGTATTTATCATAATGATTCTCATACAATAATTAGACATATCTGAGCATATCACCACATGCATTATTTTCTAGAACTGTCCCAAAGAAGCTTGCATTGAAAATTCTGGAAATTAAATGAATGAAGATTAAAAATAATTTGTCATTGAGTTTACTTAATTCTTTAACTGTTAGACACACAGACTCTAAGGGAATAAAATGTATTGGGGTTTTTTATATTCATTTCATGGCAAAGTCAATTGGAATTGCACAGTAAACTTCTGTGGTCTGCAGAATGTAAAAGACCAAAAGTTAACATAGTCTGTTTCATTTCACTCCCAAACAAGAGGGGTAACAATTTAAGAGAAAAATTGAGACATTTTAAAGATCTTTTGAATATGAGTCTGATCCAAAGCCCAATGAAGTAATGAAAAGAGAAGCCCACGTGGCCTTTGGGCCAGGTCTGAAGACTGGAATGAAAAAATAATAATTATTTTACTAAAGATTGATTCATTAAATCTATTACATTCTAAGAGGCAGTGGAATCAGTAATGGCAAGAAGTGCTTTAAAACAAGAAACAGGTGAATTTATTAATTTTATTTTCTCTACCAACAGAGCCAGATTAGACCCTTTTCAAATTCCAGAGCTAATTCTGAATTCTTTCTCTATTGCTCCTCCACCAGAATGTCTAACAAAAATCTTTTAATAACTTATGTCTTTTTTTTCTTTCTTCCTAGGTGCTTATGTTCCTGAGGGTTTGTTAACTTCCTGCTCCTGGGACTATGTGACCTTTACTCCATCAGTCCGTGCCTATACAATGCTCCTCTTCTGCTTTGTCTTCTTCATTCCTCTAATTGCCATCATATATAGTTATGTCTTTATCTTCAAGGCTATCAAGAATGCCAACATGTGAGTTGTCACTAGTCTAGGATTTCGATCTCTTAAGCAGAGAACTTTTATTTTTATGGGAGATTATATTTTAGATGTAGATATAGATATAGATCTATAAACTTGCATTTCCATTTTAACAAGTAGTTTTTTCCTTTAATGGAAATGGGTAAGAGATAAAACAGAATAAGAATAAACAGTGAATTTCCTTATGACAAAATGTTAAAGGTGTGTGGGAGAGGGAGATGTCCAAGGGGTGGTACTTGGCCTGCTTTATTTAAGACATTTAAAAATAATTTGGGAAAAGGTATGAATAGAAAGATGGAAAAACTAACAGATGACACAAAACTGTTAGTGGGTTAGTTAAGTCTAGTTAAGGTATGTGGAACTTCAGAGAGGCCTAATAAGGCTAAGTGACTGGTCAGCAGCATAGGCAAATGATATTCAGTGCCAGTTTCTTTGATTTGCTTCAATCACTTGTGGCCTATGCACAGGGCTTGACAAACAGCGGCGAAAGCCACTCGCCAGCCCCGCACTGCGCATGCGCGTGCCTCTGGTAAACTCGCCACGGGCGGGTAGATTCTATAGTTTGTCGAGCCCTGCCTATGTATATGTCACAAAGTGGCCTTGGAACAGAGATGTCCAGCGGGGAATTCCCCTTCCATAAAGGAAGCAAAGCTATTCTAGTCACTAGTTTGCACAGGTGTGGCCATTCCTGTGTCAACAGACGGATTGTGGAAGGCATCGACTGTCTACAAGTGAACAGGTGGAAGTTGATTGTAAACTCTGTGTTAAAGAAGGTACAGTACAATGATGCCAGGTGCAATATGTTAAACCAGTGATTTTCAACGAAGCCTCAGCCTCCAGCACTCAAGACCTGCCCAAAACCCTAAGCACCAGTTAGAGGCCCACTTCCTTGTGCCCTGATAGAAGCCATTCCATGGAGCTGAAGCACCAAGCCCTGGTGTTCACCAACGCTGTAGTGATGGGGGTGATGCCCTGAACCTCAAGCCATTCCCACCCCCAAAAGCTCTAAGCCTCCTTCCTTGTAAAGTAAAACCCTTGAGTCCTCCAACCCATGGGGCTGCCCCCCTCCCTGAATCCCCCCATCTAAAGCCCAAAAGGCTCCCTACCAAGCTGTGGAAGTTTTATAGCGTGTTGTGGGGGCAGGCAAAGAAAAAGATTGAAAATCCCTGTGTTAAACAGGGGCAACGATTTGCATCAGGAATACAAGAAACAAGAACTACTGAAATAGCAAACCACAGTTTGGTTCTGCCATTCTAACACATGTTGAACTGTATCTGACTACGTACTCTGCCCTATTGATTTCAGTGTATCTACTCATGTAACAGTGTGAGTAGGGGGTTACAAAATCTGTCCCCAAGAAGTAAATAAATACTTTTTTTCCCATCCATAATTAGAGGTGTCATGCAGATTAATCTAGGTACTTGAATAATCTGAAGCTTTATTTTGGAAACCTATTCCTCACAGACCTCCATCCTACTCCTGTTGAAGTCAATGGGAATTTTGCCCTGATTACTTTGACAGTGGGAGCCTCTATTATGCAAAAGCAATTACAGGAAGTCCCCGGGTTACGTACAAGATAGGGATTGTAGGTTTGTTCTTAAGTTGAATTTGTACATGAGTCGGAACTGGTACATATTGTACCCCAGGTGTCCCCAATTCAGCGATGCTGAAACTGACCAGCAGCTGACTACAGGAAGCCCGAGGCAGAGCTGCTTTGCCCCGGGCTTCCTGTAGTCAGCTGTTGGTCAGTTTCAGCAGTGGCTGACTTGGGGACGCCTGGGGGAGGGGCAGTGGGGGGGCG